TACAGATTGCTATTATTCGTTCTAGGACCCACGCACAATCAGCTAATCGCCGAGTGATGAGGCGATGTTTTTCTCCTAATCATTTTTCCTCTGTTATTCTTTTTTGCTGACGCGATCACTTAATTAGTTTCCTACTCCTAGAGGCTGAAAAAGGTAAGCTACTTTTGCTGTTGCTAGGGTTTTCTTGTTCACTTATGCTTACAAGCGAATGAATTTTTGCTTACCATAGTCTGTTATTCGCACCAGGACCCACACACACGCAATGAGACACATTGTATAGCTCGTCCGAACACCCCACTTTTCTACATTTTTCTGGTCTCATTCTCGTCCAGCCCCCTTTTTAATGGTTTTCGAAACCTTTTTTTTTAACTTTGGAAACACCAATCCACGCAGTTTTTTCACCGTCATCGCACCATTGCCGATCTTGTCTTCCATTTTTCATCATAATCTGGATTACCCAAATTATCGTGAATTGTGCCCTTAACTTATATCAAAGGCTGAACCCCACTTCCTCTCCCCCTCTTATAAGGAGGGAGAAACCTGTCTTTTGCATACAACTCCCGAGCTCTCAATTTTGCAATTTTCATGTAGTTCAAGTGCGGTTCTGTTCGTGGTCACCCACCAAAGTGCACTGAGGACTGTTGTGGAAATGATCAGCGTAGGCATGCCCATGCATCGGACGTTGCGTTCTCACAGTGAGTGTGACCGAATTGGAATTGCACGAGATGTCCGTTGCTCCACGAACACGAGGTTCTACAACAATACTCATCATGAAAATCCTTTTCTGGCCGTTAAGGTATACACTCACTGGCATCAGGTCCCAACTCCATGCCTTCACATCCGAAACCGACGTGCTTCATTAGTTCAGCCTCGAAACCCTAAAACTGCTGTTATTCAAAAGGCTTCCAGTGAAGGTAATATCTAAGCCGATAGGAAGCTGCAAATATTGCATAATCTTGAGAAGATATGTATGTAGGCTACATTAGGATATCGAGTTCGAATTCATAAAATAGCACAATCAACAAATTAGCTATTCGATATAAGAGCTGTCATGAAAGCCATCACCACATTGTAAGTGAAAAGAGCTTGTTGGCGTATATCCGCTCAGCAAAACCACACCTGTG